TGTGTGTGTGTGTGTGTGTGTGTGTGTGTGTTTAGTCTTGTTTTTTTACTGTTAGAGTAAAAGACTGGCAAACAGCTGGAAAGCATTTCACCCAGTGGTCTCATAAAAATATATTTATATAAAAACACTCATTCACACAATTCCAGCTTTAAAGAAATAAAGCTTGCTGCTAAAGTGCAACACTTGACCTGCAACAACAAGTATCTGTGTAATTTGCTCCTAACAGAAAGCTCTTCATTGTATATTTGGGAGATTTTTTTGTTTTTATGACTATTCCCAAGGCTGGCATCCCCTTCATTTTATTGGTTTTTCCAGGGAGTCATTTTCAGTGTGGTTGCTTGAAATGTATTGGCAGCAGTGACAWAATCGTTTTCTGGACAAATTTAGAGATTCTCAACTTGTAAGTCTTTGAGCAGCTGTACAGAAGAGGCAGAAGGCTTTGTTCACTCTGCAAACATGAGTGACACAAACCTGATTTTTTTACACRTGACTCTTATCAGATTTATTGTGAGTCTAAATTAGTGAAATCAGAATTTTTTTTATTTTGTTTATGATTGAGGTCTTTTCGAACTTGGTACTAAATCAGATACATAGCTGATGTTTTTCCAAACAACTGTCTGGTCATGCCACATTTCATCTGACAACATCACGGAGGTTTACAGAGTATACAGATCAAACCAGATTTTATTGATACCAACGTCATGAAGTTTTAAGTTTGAAACACCCGTGTCTTCAGCTGAAGAACAGAATTATTTCTTTTACATTTTAGTTCTCATATCTTGGATGACAACACCAACAAATGGCATGATACTTTGGTAAAMCAACGCGTTGGACCACATCAATACAAACATGATGAGATCGATACTTGAGTTTGTTTCAGTGGCTCCCATTCCAGAAGTGTAATTCTGTACCTGCCTAGACAGGGAGTCACGAGAACTAATGTAAACGTTGTATGAAACAAGCATAGCAAATACTAATTTAGTCAGCTTACATTGCACAACTTCAGAACTGATGCCACCGTATGTAGCTTTCATGTTTATTTCTGTAAATGCAGAGTGCTGAGTGTGATGTCATGTTTTCTGCACATGCAAGTCGCCTCAGGGCAGTAGGCTGTTCACACTAGACKCTGATAGAAGTTGCATTTAATTTACAATGTGGACAACCACCACAAAAAAATAAAATCAGATCCAAGCAAGAAATTAGAATTCAGCATTAAAGGGATTCCTGAATAGTTGTAACATTAGACTATTTGATAAACATTTATTTTAACTGTAAAATGAAGACTGTAAAAA